AGCGCTGCGCCGGGGCTGGGGACACGAATTCAGTCACCGAGAGTGGGGACGAGCGCTGGGATTTGGGGGAGGGTCTGGGGAATGGAGACATCTGGGGACACAACAATAGGGATGGAGTCAATAGCATTGGCATCATGGTCATCCCCATCAGCCCCAGCGGCTTTGGCACAGAAATAGGATCCGGAATCCTCGTCCTGCAGGTCGATTATGGTCAGTGCTGTTAAGCTCTGCCCGTTGTCCCTGGAGATCCTGACCCGGCCATGCACCGACGGCGCGTAGTAGGTGAAACCCCCAGAGCTGTGGATCCCCACGAGCCATTGCAGCCCCTGTTGGGGTCTCTGGCGTATCCATTGCATGGAGTGACCCCCGAAATTGAACCCGGACCCTCGGCACAGCAACGTCAGGAACCCCCGGGGGGCTGGAGGTCCCCCCCGCACTCCAGCAGGGTCACGGCCGCCCGGAGCCCTGTGGGAGAAAGGGGAGATGGGGATGAGAAACCTGATTGTTTCAGGGTCGCAAACTGGGAGGGTCAAGCTTGATAAAGTATCGAGACACACTTGGGAGGGGGGTGATGAACTCCATGGGTCCCAATTTGGGGCCAAGGGTCAGGACTTAGGTCAAAGGTTGAGCTTTTGCCTCATCCCCATCTCCCCTTTGTCCCGCAGGGCTCCGGGCGGACGTGACCCTACTGGAGTGCGGGGGGGACCTCCAGCCCCCCGGGGTGTCCCTGCACCTCCTCTGCCGAGGGTCTGGGTTCAGTTTCGGCAGTGTCACCCTGTTCTGGATAGGCCAGAGACCCGGGCAGGAGCTGGAGTACATTGGAGAGATAAACCCTAGTGGCAGCACCTGGTACGCACCATCGGTCAAGGGCCGGGTCACGATCTCCAGGGACAACGGGCAGAGCTCGGTGACGCTGACCATGAACAACCTCCAGGACGAGGATTCTGGATCCTATTTCTGCTCCAAACGTCCTGATGCTCGTGGTGGTGTTTATAGTGTTGATGCTATTGAGCAGCTATTCGGGACCCCCATCTCCCCAAACCCTAACCCCAGACCCCACTCCCGACCCTCTGTCCCAACCAGGCACAGTTTTGGCCCCAAATCTCAGCTCCTGGCCCCACATCTTGGCCCCAAGGAGCGGCATGTCCAGGAAGGTCATTTTGCCCCCTTACTTGGCAAAGGTGAGGCGACACCTCCAGGGCTGTGCCCAGCTCCGGCCCCTCAGGTTGGGCAGGACCTGGGGGAAATTTAGGTTGGAAATCAGGACAAAGTTTTTCATAAAACGAGTCAAAAAGAAGTGGATTTGTTTGCCCGGGAAGGGAGTGGCGTGACTAACCCTTGGTGGATTCAACAAAGCCTGGAGGTAGCACTGGGTCCCAGGGATGAGGAGTTGGGGCTGGGTTGGACTCGAGGGTCTTGAAGGTCTCTTCTAAGCTGTGAATTCTGTGAATTCTGTGAATTCTGTGAATTTGGACACATGTTATTGGTGCATGAGAACAAACCCTGAAGAATTGAGTAAGGGGTGGAGCTTTGAAGGCACGACCAGGGGAGGAGCAAAGGTGGGGTCTCAGCCATGGGGGTTGGATGGAGGCCAAAACCATCAGCACCATAACCAGCCCAAGCACCAAAACGTTTGGCACAGAAATAGGACCCGGAATCCTCGTCCTTGAGGTTGTTCATGGTCAGCGTCACCGAGCTCTGCCCGTTGTCCCTGGAGATCGTGAACCGGCCCTGCACCGACGGTGAGTATTTGGTGCTGCCACCGCTGCTGATCCCTGCCAGGAATTGCAGCCCCTGCCCGGGTCTCTGCCGGATCCAGTGCATGTCAGAACTGCCAAAACTGAACCCGGACCCTCGGCAGAGGAGGCGCAGGGACCCCCCGGGGGGCTGGAGGTGCCCCTCGCACTCCAGCAGGGTCACGGCCGCCCGGAGCCCTGCGGGACAAACGGGAGATGATGGAAATCAAAAGTCTGATTGGTCAAGGGCCTCATAGTGGGTGTGGCCAGCTGGACAAAGGGGTAGAATCCTCCTGGGGGGAGGGTGATGAACTCCAAGGATCCCAGTTTTGGGCCAACAGTCAGCATTTGTGTCAGTGGTTGAGCTCTGGCCTAATCCCCATTTCCCCTTGGTCCCACAGTGCTCCGGGCGGCCGTGACCCTGCTGGAGTACAGGGGGGACCTCCAGCCCCCTGGGGGATCCCTGCACCTCCTCTATCGAGGGTCCAGCTTCAGTTTTGGCAGTTTTGGGATGGGCTGGTATCGGCAGAGGCCTGTGCAGGGGCTGGAATTCATTGCCAGCATCAGCAACGATGGTGCCAGCACCTGGTGTAGGCCATCGGTCAAGGGTCGGTTCACGATCTCCAGGGACAATGGGCAGAGCTCGGTAATGCTGACCATGAACAACCTCAAGGACGAGGATTCCGGATCCTATTTCTGTGCCAGGGCTTTTTGTGCTGGTTGTTGGGCTGTTGCTAATCTTGGTGACAATGCTTTTGATAGCGTCAAACTTCTCGTTTTTGCTCCTGTCCTATCATTGGATCTCCAAATTTTCAATTTTCGTCCCAAACCTCACCTCTTGTCTCAGATCTTGACCCTTTGTCCCTATTTGCATCAATGGTCAGCACTGACCCCAAACCCTCGCCTGTTTCTGCCCCAAAACTCAACCATTGGCCCCAAACCCCCCGACTCACCCCTGACCCTTTGTCCTACCCCTGCCCCCTTTGCCCCAATGCTGCCCATTGGCCCCAAACCCTCCCCTGGGTCTGGCCCCAAACTCAACTCTCGGCCCCAAATCTCCCCCTTGTGCCCCAAAAGTGCCCAAAGGGTCGAGATTTGGGGACAGCGGGTGAGGTTTATGTCAGCGGCTTTGGCTGGGAACCCAAAGTGGCGATTTGGGGCAGAATCGGGTGAGTTTTGGGGCCAAAGCAGGAGGGTTTGGGGCAGAACCAGTCAGGGTTTGGGGTCTTTGGTCACCATTGGTGGAAATGGGGGAGATCTGGGCAAATGAGTCAAGAATGAGGTCAAGGGCAGAGATTTGGGTAAAGGTTCTGAGATTCGGGGACAAGAGGGGCTCAGACGAGGGCGCTGCCGCCACCGGCACGGTCAATAAAGGCGGCAGCAGCCCAAGCAGCACCAGCAGCTTTGGCACAGAAATAGGATCCGGAATCCTCGTCCTTGAGGTTGTTCATGGTCAGCGTCACCGAGCTCTGCCCGTTGTCCCTGGAGATCGTGAACCGACCCTTGACCGACGGGGCGTACAAGGTGCCGGAACCATCGCTCCTGTTGTAGGCGACGCATTCCAGCCCCTGCCCAGGTCTCTGGCGGATCCATTGCATGGCAAAACTGACGAAACTGAACCCAGACCCTCAGCAGAGGAGGCGCAGGGACCCCCCGGGGGGCTGGAGGTGCCCCCCGCACTCCAGCAGGGTCACGGCCACCCGGAGCCCTGCGGGACAAAGGGGAGATGGGGATGAGGCCAAAGCTCAACCCTTGACACAAATCCTGACTCTTGGCCCAAAATTGGGACCCATGGAGTTCATCATCCTCCTCCCAGTGGGTCCTGCCCCGTTTTCCCAGCTGGCCACATGCAGTATGGGACATTCAACCAATCAGGTTTCCCATCCCCATCTTCCCTTTGTCCCGCAGGGCTCCGGGCGGCCGTGACCCTGCTGGAGTGCGGGGGGAAACTAAACACCCCCGGGGGGTCCCTGCGCCTCCTCTACCGAGGGTCCGGGTTCAGTTTTAGCAGTTTTGGGATGGGCTGGTATCGACAGAGACCCGGGCAGGGCTTGGAACACATCGGAGGGATCCAAAGCGATGGCCGCACCTACTACGTGCCATCGTTCAGGGGCCAGGTCACGATCTCCAGGGACAACAGGCAGAGCTCGGTGACGCTGACCATGAACAACCTCAAGGACGAGGATTCCGGATCCTACTGCTGTGCCAAAAACGCCTATGATTGTTGGGGTTGGGAGGCTCATGCTGCTGGTTCTAATTTTGGTCCTGTCCCCATCCCTGTGTCCCTACCTGTCCCCGTTTCCCTGGTCCTTCCCTCCAGCCCGTGACCCCATTGTTGCCCCCCCCAGACCCAAATGTGGCCCGTTTTTCCCCAGTCTTGAGCATTTGCACCCAGATTTAGGGACCTTGGTTGAGCCTTGGAGCCAAGAGTTGAGTTTTGGGTCCAGGAGGTGAGATTTGGGGCAGAACCAGCTGAGTTTGGGGCCCATGGTCACTAGTGAACCCTGCTGAGATCTGGGGCACAAGGGGCTGAGTTTTAGGCATGAACAGTTGAGATTTGGGTCAAATGCCTAAAGCTGTAAGAGAAATGTTAGAGGTGAGGCCATGATGGTGGAGATTGGGGGAAAACTGACAAGGTTTTGGGACAAGGGCAAAGATTTGATGGTAGAAAGTAGGAGTTTTTGGATGTCTGTGAGCCCAGTGTCAGGTGATGGGGCCATCACCGGCATTCTAAATATAATTAGCACCAGCACCACCAGTACCAGGAGATTTGGCACAGAAATAGGTGGCGGAATCCTCGTCCTTGAGGTTGTTCATGGTCAGCGTCACCGAGCTCTGCCCGTTGTCCCTGGAGATCGTGACCCGGCCCTTGACCGATGGCGCATACCAGGTGCTGCCACCACCATTACTTTTATCTGCAACGTACTCCAGCCCCTGCCCAGGCCTCTGTCGATACCAGCCCATGGCAAAACTGCCAAAACTGAACCCAGACCCTCGGCAGAGGAGGCGCAGGGACCCCCCGGGGGGCTGGAGGTCCCCCCCGCACTCCAGCAGGGTCACGCCTGATCCCCCATCCCCAAACCTTCACCGGTTTTGCCCCAATTTCCTTTTTTTTGTCTCCAAATCTCCAACAGATATATCCTGAATGGTAAGGTTCCTTAAACCGTGCAATTAGTCCCAATCCACCCATTAAATAATTGTACACCTCCACCTGACTTTTGCATCGCCTCATCGCCATCTCCCCTTTGTCCCGCAGGGCTCCGGGTGGCCGTGGCCCTGCTGGAGTGCGGGGCAGACCTCCAGCCCCCCGGGGGGTCCCTGCGCCTCCTTTGCCGAGGGGCCGGGTTCAGTTTTGGACAATTTGGTATGTACTGTGTCCGCCAGAGACCCGGGCAGACGCTGGAATACATCGCGACTATCAGCAGCAATGGTGGCATCACTGCCTACGCGGATTCGGTCAAGGGCCGGTTCACGATCTCCAGGGACAACGGGCAGAGCTCGGTGACGCTGACCATGAACAACCTCAAGGACGAGGATTCCGCCGTCTATTTCTGCGGGAAATCTGCTGATAATAATGCCTATGCTGGTGGTATCGTTTTGGCCCCATCTCCAAAGCCCAGATCCTTCCCCCAGTCCCCAGCCCCTGACCCCACTCCTGCCCCTGTGTCCCAGCCCTGAACTGGCTCTGCCCCAAATCTCCCCCATTTTCCCCAAGATTCCCAACACTCGGCCCCACCCCTTAATGCTTGGTGCCAATTTTTGTGCCAAACTCTCCGGATTCGGTGCCCCCAGCGCAGGTTTGGAGCCAGGCGTGTGGTTTTTGGGCTGCCCCAGAGGAATTTATCCCTGCCCGGGGGTCTCTGTCCCAGTCCCCACCAGGACAGGGCTGTGGGGACCCCTCTGCAGCTGTTTGGTTTCCCACCATCGCTGTCCTCACCGGGCTGTGGCCATGGGGAGGTGCCGGCGGCGCACGGCCCCGGCAGCACACTCAGAACTCGATGGCGCTGCGTACCGCGAGAGGTTTGTGGCCAATCACACAAAGCAAAGGCAGATTGACACGGTGGGGCCGGATCTGGCCAGTCCTCGTCAGTTTTGGGGAATTTGGTTGGGACGTGGAGCCAAGAGCTGAGATTTGGGGCCAGGAGCTGAGATTTGGGAAAGAGCCAGTTCAGAGCTGGGACAGGGGACAGGAATGGGGTCAGGGGCTGGGGATTGGGGAAGGGTCTGGGGAACGGGGACATGGGGGAAGGAGCCATGGGGATGAGGTCAAAACGACAGGCAACATTCTCCCAACCAGCACGATCATCAACACACTTGGCATAGAAATAGGATCCGGAATCCTTGACCTTGAGGTTGTTCATGGTCAGCGTCACTGAGCTCTACCCGTTGTCCCTGGAGATCGTGACGGAATCCGTGTACCCGGTCCAACCACCATTGTAGCTGATACTCGCGAGCCACTCCATCCCCTTCCCGGGTCTTTGGCGCACCCAGACCACGTCGTAGCTTCCGAAACTGAACCCGGACCCTCGGCAGAGGAGGCGCAGGGAACCCCCGGGGGGCTGGAGGTCCCCCCCGCACTCCAGCAGGGTCACGGCTGCCCGGAGCCCTGCGGGACAAAGGGGAGATGGGGATAAGGAACCTGATTGGTCGAGGGCCTAAAAGTGAGCAAGGCCACCTGTAAAAAGAGGAGGAGGATGATGAACTCCATGGGTCCAAATTTTGGGCCCAGAGTCAGGGTTTGGGTCAAGGGTTGAACTTTGGCCTCATCCCCATCTCCCCTTTGTCCCGCAGGGCTCTGGGCGGCCGTGACCCTGCTGGAGTGTGGGGGGGACCTCCAGCCCCCCGGGGGGTCCCTGCGCTTCCTCTGCCGAGGGTCCGGGTTCAGTTTTGGGGATTATGGAATGTTCTGGATCCGCCCGAGACCCGAGCAGGGTCTGGAGTGGCTCGCGAATATCCACAGCAGTGGCAGCACCTTCTAAGCACCATCGGTCAAGGGCTGGTTCAGGATCTCCAGGGACAACGGGCAGAGCTCGGTGACACTGACCATGAACAACCTCAAGGACGAGGATTCCGGATCCTATTTCTGCGCCAAGGGTTTTGCTGCTTATGCTGGTGATAACGATGCCTGCTGTATTGACCCCACCCCCACCACTGCACCCCCATCTGTCCCCATTCCCCAGACCCTTGCCCAGCTCCCAGCCCCTGACCCAGCCCGTGACCATTTCTCCATTTCCCTTTCCCCTCTCCGGCCCCAAACCCCAACCCTTGGACATTGATCTTCCCCCAAACTCTGCCCCAAAGGTCAGCATTGGGCCCGGGGCTGGGGACACGAATTCAGTCACCGAGAGCGGGGACGAGGGCTGGGATTTGGGAAAGGGTCTGGCATTTGGGGACATTTGGGGACACAACAATAGTGGTGGAGTCAATAGCATTGGCATCATGGTCATCCCCATCAGCCCCAGCAGGTTTGGCACAGAAATAGGATCCGGAATCCTCGTCCTGCAGGTCGATCATGGTCAGTGCTGTTAAGCTCTGCCCGTTGTCCCTGGAGATCCTGACCTGGCCATGCACCGACGGCGCGTAGTAGGTGTAGCCCGCAGAGCTGTGGATCCCCGCGAGCCATTGCAGCCCCTGTTGGGGTCTCTGGCGTATCCATTGCATGGAGTGACCCCCGAAACTGAACCCGGACCCTCGGCACAGCAACGTCAGGGACCCCCCGGGGGGCTGGAGGTCCCCCCCGCACTCCAGCAGGGTCACGGCCGCCCGGAGCCCTGCGGGACAAAGGGGAGATGGGGATGGGGAAAAATATCAACCCAAATATAGATTCTTGCATGCAGATCCTGATGCTGGCCTCAAATTGGGACCCTTGAAGTTCACCACCCTCTTCCTGCAGCACCTGCCAATCCTCCCAGGTGGATCCCACACACTTCTTCTGGCATGGCGGTTCCCACTTTGGGTCTGCAGACAATCCAGCTCTTCATCCCCATCTCCCCTTTGTCCCGCAGGGCTCTGGGCGACTGTGACCCTGCTGGAGTGCGGGGGGTACCTCCAGCCCCCTGGGGGGTCCCTGATGTTGCTGTGCCGAGGGTCCGGGTTTTGATTTCGGGAATTTCAACATGGGCTGGATGCATCAAAGACCTGGAAAGGGGCTAGAATTCGTGGCAGGAATCAGCAACAACGGTGGCAACATTGGCTCAACGCCATCGGTTAAGGGTCGGTTCAGGATCTCCAGGAACAACATGCAGAGCTCGGTGACGCTGACCATGAATAACCCCAAGGACGAGGATTCCGGATCCTATTTCTGCACCAAGGGTGTTTACAATTGTTGTGCTGCTTCTAATGCTGATGTTGGTGATGGTGTCCTTACCCCTCTTCCTGTCCCCGTGCCCCAGATAATTCCCTCCAACCCCAGACCCCACTCCTGACCCTGCGTCCCAACCCTGCCCTGCTCTCACCCCAAATCTCAGCTCCTGGCCCCAAATCTCAGCTCCTGGCCCCTCTGGATCCTATTTCTGCAGGAAATCTCCTGGTACCGGTGGCGCTTATGCTGCTGGTTATATTGAGAGTGCCGACCATGGCCCCATCCCCAACCAACATTAGGAGCAGCACCGTAACCATTAGCATCCTTGGCACAGAGATAGGATCCGGAATCCTTGTCCTTGAGGTTGTTCATGGTCAGCGTCACCGAGCTCTGCCCGTTGTCCCTGGAGATCCTGAACCGGCCCTTGACTGACGGCGCATAGATGGTGGCACCATTGCTCCAGATCGCTGCGATCCACTCCAGCCCCTGCCCGGGTCTCTGGCGCATCCAGCCCATCCCAAAACTGCTGAAACTGAACCCAGACCCTCGGCAGAGGAGGCGCAGGGACCCCCCGGGGGGCTTGAGGTCCCCCCTCCACTCCAGCAGGGTCACGGCCACTCCCCAATCCCCAACCCTTCCCCAGTTTTGCCCCAAATTCCCTTTGTCTGGACTCAAATATTCTACAGAGGTTTCCATTATTGTAAAGTTCCTTAAACCCTGCAATTAGCCCCAGTCCACACATTAATTAATTCGACAGCTCCACCTGGCTTTTGCATCGCCCCATCCCCATCTCCCCTTTGTCCCGCAGGGCTCCGGGCGGCCGTGACCCTGCTGGAGTGCGGGGGGCACCTCCAGCCCCCCGGGGGGTCCCTGACGTTTCTCTGCATTGGCTCTGGGTTCACTCTGGCCAATCACGACATGTTCTGGGTGTGCCAGAGACCCGGGCAGGGGCTGGAGTTTGTCGCCCACATCACCTACAATGGAGGCTACACCATCTACAGTCCGTCGGTGCTGGGTCGGTTCAGGATCTCCAGGGAAAACAGGCAGAGCTCGGTAACGCTGACCATGAACAACCTCAAGGACGAGGATTCCGGATCCTATTTCTGTGCCAGACGTCATAAATATTGGGGTGCTGATTATGTTTTTATTGATGACGCTCTCAGCGATCCGATGCCCTTGATGGTCACCAAATGTCTCCAATCGCCACAGATTCTTCCCCAAAATCCCAGCCCTTCTCCTCAAATCTTGGCTATATTCCCCCAATCTCTGCCCTTGTTCCCGCAGCCCTGGAGTTTCCCCAATTTTGCCCATTTCACTCAAATCTCCCCCAGCTCCCTGAACTCTGATTGGCTGATTGAGCACAGTCAGAAATGGGAACTCTTGGAGAGCAAGGCCTGAACTGGGGGACGTGTTTGAATGTTTGGTGCCAATGGTTGATTTTTGGGGCAGGAGCAGGGGAGGGTTTGGGGTCAGTTCTGACCATTGGTGCAAATGGGGGAGATTTGGGACAAAGGGTCAAGGGCTGAGGTTTGGGGGAAGGGTCTAGGTCTGGGGACAAGAGGGGCTCTGATGGGGTGGTGCCACCACCGGAATGGCCAATATAAGGAGCAGCATAAGAGCTACCAGTATTGTAAGATTTGGCACAGAAATAGGTGGAAGAATCCACGTCCTTGAGGTTGTTCATGGTCAGCGTCACCGAGGTTTGCCCGTTGTCCCTGCAGATCCTGACCCGGCCCTTGACCGATGGCGCGTAGTAGGCGCTGCCACTGCTGCTGATACTGGCGACTGCTTCCAGCCCCTGTCTGGGTCTCTGGCGATGCCAGCCCATCCCAAAACTGCCAAAATCGAACCCGGACCCTCGGCAGAGGAGGCGCAGGGACGCCCCAGGGGGCTGGAGGTTCCCCCCGCACTCCAGAAGGGTCACGGCCGCCCGGAGCACTGAGGGACAAAGGGGAGATGGGGATGAGGCCAAAGCTCAACCCTTGAAACAAATCCTGACTCTTGGCCCCAAATTCTGACCCTTGGAGTTCATCATCCTCCTCTCACGTGCGTCCCACCACTTTTTCAAGCGTGCCATGCCAACTTGGGCACTCTTCACCAATCAGGTTCCTCATCCCCTTCTCCCCTTTGTCCCGCAGGGCTCTGGGCGGGCGTGACCCTGCTGGAGTGCGGGGGGCACCTGCAGCCCCCGGGGGGTCCCTGCGTCTCCTCTGCCGAAGGTCCGGGTTCACTTTAGGGGATTATGATATGCACTGGATCCGCCAGAGACCCAGGCAGGGGCTGGAATTCGTGGCAGGCATCTAGTACAATAGTGCCAACACTTACTATGCGCCATCGGTCAGGGGCCGGTTCAGGATCTCCAGGGACACCGGGCAGAGCCCGGTGACGCTGACCATGAACAACCTCAAGGATGAGGATTCCACCGTTTATTTCTGCTCCAAGTGTGCTGCTAATAATTACCCTGAACATGCTGCTCGTAGTGAGGATGCCCAAGGTTTTCCCACCCACATCCCCTTATCCCCCACCCGTCCCCGTTGCCCAGACCCTTCCCCCAAACCCCCAGCCCACACCCAGCCCTTGACCATTGATCCCAACCTTGCTCTGCCTCGGCCCCAATTCTCACCCGCTGACCCCAAACCTCAACTCCTGACCCCAAATCTCCTCTTTGTGCCCTAAAACTTTGCTCTGCAGGTCAGGGTTTTAGGCCCAGGGTCCCGAATTGGGTCAGAATTTGGGATTTGTTTCAGTGGTGGCTGCTCGGGGTCAGCAGCGCAGATTTGGGCAGAGCTGGGCGACTTCAGCCCAGGGATCCTGGCAGAAGGGCCGGGGCCAGTCCAAGAGCAAAAATGGCCCCGAGTGGGCCCCGAGCTAATGTGTGGGGCCAGGAGCTGAGAATGTGGGGCAGGGCCAGGGTAGGGTTGGGGCCCGAGGACAGGAATGGGGTCAGGGGCTGAGGATTGGGGGAAGGGTCACTGTGGAGACAGTTGGTGACCATCATGGTGGTGGGAAAACTGACGGCATTGCTCCCAATAGCAGCAGCACTCTCAGAACCGTAACTACTACTGGCATGTTTTGTGCAGAAATAAACGGCGGAATCCTCGTCCTTGAGGTTGTTCATGGTCAGCGTCACCGAGCTCTGCCCGTTGTCCCTGGAGATCCTGGACCGGCCCTTGACTGATTGCGCATAGCCGGTGCCGCCACC